TTTACTAGATACACATATGGTTTGTTTAAGGAACAATATCTGGTTTACTAGATACACATATGGTTTGTTTAAGGAACAATATCTGGTTTACTAGATACACATATGGATTGTTTAAGTAACAATATCTCGTTTACTAGATACACATATGGTTTGTTTAAGTAACAATATCTCGTTTACTAGCTGGTTTACTAGGTACACATATGGTTTGTTTAAGTAACAATATCTCGTTTACTAGATAAACATATGATTTGTTTAAGGGACAATATCTCGTTTACTAGCTGGTTCACTAGGAACACATATGGTTTGTCTAAGGAACAATATCTGGTTTACTAGATACACATATGGTTTGTTTAAGGAACAATATCTGGTTTACTAGATACACATATGGTTTGTTTAAGGAACAATATCTCGTTTACTAGCTGGTTTACTAGGTACACATATGGTTTGTTTAAGGAACAATATCTCGTTTACTAGATACACATATTGTTTGTTTAAAGAACTATGAAACCATATCTGGTTTACAAGGTGCACATATGTTTTATGGAACGATGTAACTGTATTAAGTTTACTAGATATAAATATGATTTGTTTATAGAATCATACCTTATTTATTAAATATATACGGTTGTTTATGAAACCATATCTGATTTACAAGGTGCACATATGTTTTATGGAACGATGTAACTATATTAAGTTTACTAGATATAAATATGATTTGTTTATAGAATCATATCTTATTTATTAAATGTATACGGTTGTTTATGGAAACATATCTGGTTTACTGTGTACAACATGGTTTATTTATGGGACCATGGAGCCATATCGGGTTTATTTGGTATACCTGTTTTGTTTATGGAATCATGTCTTATTTAATAAGTACACATGTGGTCGTTTATGGAACCATATCTTATTCACTAGGGACACGTGTAACTTATTTATGAAACCATGGTTTACTAAGTACACGCGTGGTTTCTTTGGAATGCTAGAAATCTGCTAGCAGAAGTCATTAAGACGAAAAAGCGGATCAAACATCGATCAGTCAGTTGATCATAGTGTTTACTGACCAGGAAGACTTCAACAGCTGATATGGAGATATTTGTCTGTATGCGTGAAGGTGCATGAATGTATTTTATTTACTTGACTCGATTAGCTTCTGATTTATAACACAAAAGGCAGTGTTTTCTGTGTTTGAAAGACACCCAAAACGAGATGAGAAATTTGTAGTTGATTATGGAGTTTATTTAATCTTCTATATACAATCTCCTCTATTTGAATCCTTACTGAAATACTTGATGCTTATATTTTTTCCTATTCTTATGTATCCGTTGGTTAAGCTTCAGAGTCCACTTTTTAAATCCTTTTTCAGAATTTCATTATTATTACTTATTCATACGTGTATTTTCTCCGCCCTATTTTTTGTCTATGTTTATCACTTATACACTCAGTCTTCATCACCATTGCATTATCCTAGTAATCTTGTTTTATATCATCTTTACTACACTGTTCTTTTGCGTTTCTATCTCACTAAGTTCCTTTTAATTTTTCATTTTCCTTTCTCTAATATTATCATGTTTATAAATCTTCTAACTCAAAAAAATTTCCATTTTCCATTTCAATCTTTATTACTCAAACTTTTCCACATTCTACTCTTCATTTGCTTTTATCTCCTGCTTCTGACTCTTAGGATTTCTTCGTAGTTCATTTTCATTTCTCCTATGATATGCCGTCTTACTCTTTTTCCTTTGACTATCATTTGTAAAAGTCTTATATGTGACCTCGTTACTTCCTACTTTTAATGTTAAGTTTTCAATTTATAGTTTTAACCATCTTATCCTTATTTCTTTGTTCTCTCATCTTTCTGCATCTTCGAGGTTTTCACCTTTTCCATCTTTCTCTAATTTTGATCTTAATGTTTCCTAGCTGTTCTTCGTTTTTTCTGTTTATACTTTTTTCTCCTTCTTCTTATCTATTAGCACGTTTTAACTTTCATTTCCTCAGTTACTGATACCTCAGTTCTATTTCAAACATACTATGAGGAAAAAAAGAATTAATTCTTCTGCGCGGTCTTATCTCATACCTCATACATCCAAATATCTTTTTAAAATACTTTTTGAGACTTCAAACTTTTTATCAAGTTAATTAGAGAACTTTCCTTTTTCATCGTTAGTTATGTAGATAAACGTGAATAAAATGTGACACGTTGTGACACATTATTCAGAGTGGCGCTGATAGGATAACAAGTACAACCTGATTTTTTTTTCAATTATATGATAGCATGTATATAGATATATCTATAAAAGAAGCGCTATTTGTTGTGCTAAGATTTCCTTTCCTGAGTATTATGATGCAAATTAACAAACTATACCATTTACCTGGACCACAAATTTCCTTACGTTTTACAGTTGTAGGTATTAGTGTGAAAATGACATCAGCCAATATTCAACCGCTAACTTTTTCTAAACTCAAAGCTAAACACATTCCATTTTAATAACTTTAGAAAATAACGTGGCTGCACGTGCTCGCACGGTGAGTGTTTGAGTTTAACGTGGTAGTCGACTCAATACTAGTATTTTCACCTGTACCTGACACGCCGTTAAAGGGATGTCAGAAATTGCATTCGTTATTCGAGAACTAACTGTAAGAAACGGCCTATGACACGTTGGTTATCTCACACGCAATTCGTCATTTTGATTGACCAACAAGTAGCGTGATACAAATTGCTTCAAAACTTCAAGTTTGGCTCATCAATACATAAAAATCAGTTATGCCTACTATTACATAAAGGAACAAATAGATGGATAAACACTTAGTTTCGATAGGTTGAGTTAGGCTACAGGTGATAATAGAAATAATTGTAGCAGTGAAATAAAGATTAAATAGCCTAATCACTAAAAGAATAAATGGACAACAGCAACAACATATTTACTGAAGAGAAAAAACATTTCCTTCTTAATAAAAATATAAGACCATCGTTTTACAAGCATACGTTTAATATTTTGTAGATATAATAGCATCCTGAAATGTTATTAATCAATAATCAGGTTCTTTTGACATTGGTTTTCTACTTGGGCGAGTTATTTGTCTGTCAAAAAGAAATAAAATCTCACTATGGGCAGTACCAGTTGTGAAAGGCCTATTTGGAATGTCAGTTTGAAAACTAGAAATTAAATTCCGATAGGGTCAAGGTGAGATGTGAGTGTATAGCTTTAGTCAGACTATTTGGGAACGAGTACAATTGGAAGTCTTTTAAATCCAAAATTTCATATTAATACAAAGATTTTTTTTATATTTTTGATTGACATTACTTTTTGCGCTAGATTAACTCCAGTTCCAGAACAAAATCACCATTCTTTATTCCGTATAAATTTTTAAGACAGATATTACAAGCACGTCATCTTCTGGAAAATGTGAGCTGTCTCTCCCTAAATGACGTTTTTTTTGTGTTTTTTTTTTTCTACTTGCAAAAGTTTATATTAAATTCAGATTTTCAAAATAAACTTTGTACAACTTAGAAAGTATTCTAGAATCTAAATATTCAAACCTGTAAAATATTTCATGGATATATAACTCAAGAATATTTTCACTTTTTGGCAATTTCTCGTTTAAAAGTTCGTATTTTTTAATGTTCCTAAAAGGCAAAGTTCTAAATTCATAATTTCTATACCAACGCAACAACATTGAAAATGTCTTAGCTTGCAATATTTAATCATAGTACTCTTTACGTAAGTTGATTGCAGTTATAATACACCTACAATAGCAATGTAAGATAGGCGTGTGTTTGTGTGTTTTAGCGCTGAGGGGGATACATCAGCTGTCCTATCACACTGTGTTATTTATATTTCACTTGTCATAAGACATTAGTGTTAAGCCTATTGCATTTTTAAACACTACATTCTTTATCTAGTCACTAAGGGATTTTCAAGATTTAAAAGAGTGTAATAATATTATTCCCACCACGCTATATTTATCATATCTATTGCAGATGATGGGTTTCCCTCACTCCAGAGCTGGGATATAACAAACAGAGTAGTGGTCGGAATACTACTTGCATAAGCCATTTGATACAACAATTGTTACGGTATGTACGCTTTTTTCAAGCTGGTGAAGCATGATTGTAATTATATTTGTCATAAGACATGGTCTTGTGCTATGTATAATTATATTTGTCATAAGACATGGTCTTGTGCTATGTATAATTATATTTGTCATAAGACATAGTCTTGTGCTAAATATAATTATATTTGTCATAAGACATAGTCTTGTGTTAAGTATAATTATATTTGTCATAAGACATAGTCTCGTGCTAAGTATAATTATATTTGTCATAAGACATAGTCTTGTGCTAAGTATAATTATATTTGTCATAAGACATAGTCTTGTGCTAAGTATAATTATATTTGTCATAAGACATAGTCTTGTGTTAAGTATAATTATATTTGTCATAAGACATAGTCTTGTGTTAAGTATAATTATATTTGTCATAAGACATGGTCTTGTGCTAACTATAATTATATTTGTCATAAGACATAGTCTTGTGCTAACTATAATTATATTTGTCATAAGACATAGTCTTGTGTTAAGTATAATTATATTTGTCATAAGACATAGTCTCGTGCTAAGTATAATTATATTTGTCATAAGACATAGTCTTGTGTTAAGTATAATTATATTTGTCATAAGACATAGTCTTGTGCTAAGTATAATTATATTTGTCATAAGACATAGTCTCGTGCTAAGTATAATTATATTTGTAATAAGGCATAGTATTGTGTTAAGTATAATTATATTTGTCATAAGACATAGTCTTGTGCTTTGTATAATTATAATAATGCTTCGCCAGCTTATAAAAGACATACACAACATAATAATTGCTGTGTAAGAGTTTATTCGACTTGAAATAAATAATTTATTAATGTGTGTTTATATACGACAATACCAATTCGAAGATTACGCATTAGTGTATTGTCAAAGTGCGTTCATTGACTGGGTCATAGCCAGGATTTCAGTACGGGAGGAAGATGTGCCTAGGACCCCCCCCTAAAAAAACGTTGCCAATCTCCGTTTGTTTTACATTGAACATTTTGTTTTCTTCTTCTGAAAATATTATCTCTGATTTTTTTAACAACTTCGACGAGGAAGTCCCATTGCAAAAATACAATATTTTTTTTTCAATATAAGTACAGTTTACAAACATACAAATTGCACACACGTACGGCATGCTTTGGTTTTAAAAAATTGGCTTTGCTCTCTCTCTCCCTCCCCTTCCTCCCTCTTTTCTCTCGCTCTCTTTTTTTTTTCTTTTTGTCGGAACGGAAGAAATATGGAAAGGATATTGTCCCCAGTTCTCTTCCCCCTTCTACGGTCCTCATTTATGAGGTGATAAAATATATCAACTTGAAATTATTGTTAGTGAATCATCAACATGTTTTTTTTTAATATTGGGAGTCTTATTACGCATAAAATTGAGTTAATGGCTAAACAGCTTGTTATTTACTATCATTAGGCAAAATTTAAATAACTTTTTGTGCATAAGCAAAAGAAAATAGGACATTGAATAATAATAAAAATGTTTAATGCACTAATCGAGTGGTTGTACAATTTTTTAATTCACAAAAACAATTCCCTTGGGGTAATTTTGAATATCAGTCTTGTAAAATTAAGGTGTCATTAATACAAAACATGTTACGGAAAGTCTACGCTGACAAGCAGTATATATATGTCTTTGTTAGTTCAAAAAATAAGCAACTGTTATTTTATCCAAATAATTAGAGATAGGAAGATAGACATATAAAACCTTTTCCAGTGCGTTTGTTAGTCCTTCTCGAGGTCTTTCCGCTGCCCTTGAGGGGCGACATCAGACGTTCACCGTAGGACACGGCTAGTTCAGAAAGTGATTGGCTCCCTTCCCACTTCCTCACATAAATTCGTCATGAAGGTATCTTTTGTTTCGTGCTATGCTCAGAACAATCGCTAAACAAACACGCTAGAATTCGGAAAAGTATCATTAATCTGTAATTATCTTACTTCATACATTTTATCAGCGGGTAAGCCTACTACATTGAAACGAAAGTATCAGCGTAGCGAGCTTACTTCTGAAAACTTCAAATGGTACTTGGTGATGACAGACACATGCGCATTACCTCTCCGTATATCACATAGGAGCATAACTGTTGATTCTATCTGAAACTTGTGGAAGAAACGCGAAATACACTTAATATAAAGTATAATAATAAGAGAAAATGGAAATTAATTATAACCGTGATATAACTCTAAAACATATATATATAAATACGCATACACACTTGTCTATCGGATGTAGTACAACATACAAAACAACCCATTCTTCACTTGAACTACCATGGTTCACTTGTTGGGCAGAATGTTGACGTCATCATAAGCATGACAGCGCCATAATGCGGAAATAAATCAATATAACATAGATCAAGTAATGGTTTTCAAGAATAAAGAATCACACATTTATAACCTTATGCACAAGAAACAATCTTACGTACGCATAGATGAGCTTAGAAAGCTTTATTTTAGTACAATTTGCCCCACTTTTCATTAAATTTTATTTTATAAATAAGTTTAAGAAATGTCTTCGATAAGCAACAGTAAATAACAAACATAAGAACTGTGGCGGTTGAAATGTGTATATATATAAAATGTTTCCCATTCTGAGTAAGGTGTGTTCTCGAAGAATCACATGTCTTTTTCTTATTGTTGTTGTTAATGTATAAAAAAAAATTGACGTCTTCGAACTTAGTTTCTTCTCTTCTTCACGGCCCGGCATGGCCAGGTGGTTAGGGAGCTCTAATCGCAATCTAAGGGTCGCGGGTTCGAATCCCCGTCACACCAAACATATTCGCCCTTTCA